TTTCTGAGGGGGTGGGGCCTGGTGGCCAGAGCGGCTGCCAGCCTACGTCAGAGACTGCAGCTCTCAGGGGAGAGGCAGGACTAAGTGGAGAGTCAGCTCCAGACGAGCTGTCTCAGGTTGTCAGCTGTGTATTCATTGTCCAGGGGCAGGCATGGACACCCTGCAGGCTGGGAGATGTTTGGACTACAGCACAGCTGACACACTTCAGTGCAGAGAAGAGAGGGTGATGGGGAAGTTGATTCAGGTGTGTGTACCCTCAGCTCTCCTGGCCTCGGAAGCCCCTCTCTTCCATCTACAGCAGAGTACAAGATGGGTCTGTTCACACTGGGGGAGATGGAGAAGCTGGAGGAGGTGGCCCAGGAAAGTTCTAGGGACACTACTGCTCCCCAACTCCTCTCTCCTGCAGCTGGTACAGGGCCCTGCAAATTGTCATAGGTCTGGAAATAGGGTGCAGTCACTGGGAGTGGGTCAAGGAGGCACAACCAGGTGAAAGGAGCTGGTATTTCCAAGGAGTTCCAACGTGTTTGATCATTCTTGGTATTACCCAGTGGTTTCCCCACTCCACCCACCACTGCCATCCAGACCATAAAATTCTCCTTTGATCACTAGAGTTATTAAAAGGAAGTCACAGAGCAGCCTCCATCCAGATTGTCAGTCACTAGTAGCCTAGAACAACTCTTCAACTCCCCAAAGCCAGCAGTCAAGCCCTCCTGGGTGTCCTAGCCCTAGGACTTACGAGCCCAGCACTTCCATGAAGATGAAGGTTTTCCGGATGTTGGTAGTCTGTTTCTTCCAGGAACTGCAGTCATCTTCTTCCTTTCGACCCATTGCCTCCAGAGTTGAAGCTTCAGGGGATGCTTTGTTGGAGAAAGTGACAAGGTCTGATCAGCTACTGATTCAAATAAGTTAAGAACAAGTTGTAGAAGAATCGGAAATATTCCATTTATGTATTAATGAGAAGGATTAAGAAACAAGACTTAAATAACTGGCACAAATCAGACTATTCTCATTTGCTTTTAAAAATTACTGCCGGGGCTGACAGGTGGCATGGTGGTTAAGACACTAGACTCCCACATGGATGACTGTGGTTCGAGTCCTGGACCTGGAGGCTTGCTTTCTCACTTTCCCTTTCTCTCTCTGTCTCTCTCTGGTCAAATAAAAAATAATAATAAATAAATAAAAAACTTAAAAAAATTACTGCCACAAATTTATTGAATGTCTACTACATGTGCATTGTGCTTGCTACATGCTCGAAGAGTACGTCTAGCAGAGGAAACTACTTTGTAACGTATGTCTATTAACGATCATTGCAGGTACATGTGTAGATTAGGATGGGAAATTCACCTCCAGGGGTTCTAAACTGAGTTGAGGCATTTTCTATTATTATCCAGATGATCACCAAGATGCTTATTGAATACATGACAGAGCTGGCCTTTCCTCTTCCTATGAAAAAGATACACAGATACACACACACACACACACACACACACACACACACACACACAGATGCATGCCTAACAAGGTTCTTACAGTGCAATCTACCTCCAGCATCAGCCAGCCAGGATCACAGGCATGCATGCATATGCCTGACTTGTATAAGGAGGCCCCAGGACTTGAACCTGGGACTTTTCCATGTGACTTCAGCATCCCAGAGCATTGCATTACAAGTGTATCCCCACAAATGGCTCTGGTTTTCATTCTAATATCACAACACTGTCACTTCTCCTAATCATTCTTACTCCTACCTGTTACAGATAAAATGGATGAATGTTAAATGGATGAGTATTAAATAAATGAGCATTATGTTTCCTCTTATGTTTAGCACAGCACTGGACAAATATTTATTACATTTGAATTGAACCATGTATTTTTGTTTGTTTTTGTATGTTTGTTTGTTTTTGACCAGAGGGTCTGAGAGACAGAGACAGAGGGAGAGAAAAAAACCCCTAATGGAGTATAGTCACTCTAATCCCTTTTCTTCTATTTTTCTATCCTGTTGGGATTTGGGGCAGGCACACATATGTGCTCAGTGTGGTTGTCGAGCAACTGGGTGATGTGCCATATGCTTGGGCAGGAAGAGTCCAGGATGACTCCATGTTTCCAGTAGGATTATCTAGGGGTGAGGGTGCCCTTACTGAGGTTGTGAATATTGGAGGGAAACATGCTTTAATGGTGGGTCAGGTGGAGTGGAGGGAGACTCTGTTTTCTTGAGTACTCTGCTCTAGCTACCCCATGACAGCGGGACAGCAGGGCTACTGGGTATCTGGGAGTGAAGGATAAGGTATCGTTTCTGCCAACACCTCCTCTCCCATCCTCCTTTGACTTAACAGAGAAGTATGAAAGTATGTCTAAAGGCTGCTCCTGTTAGGCACCTCCTTCTCCACTTTATAAGTGAAATGCACAGGGTCTTCTACTAAATGAAACAAAAAGAAAGTTCATGCCTTCACAATCGAGCATTATTCGGAGAGCACAGGTTGGGAGGTCAACCCGAGTTCAAATCCTACCACTCTGCTAGTTACTAGTTAAATGGCCTTAGGCAAGTTATGAACCTCTTTGAGTCTATTTCCTCATCTGTAAAATGGGGACAAGCCCCTTAGGATATGGTGAAGGTTAAATGAAAGGTAGAGGTAGTACCTCACACATAATAAATAGTTGTCACAGAGATAATATTTTAGAAGGATTTACTGAAGCATTTCAGTCCTGGTAATCCCCATGTGGAGAACTCATGCCACAAAATAGGTTTCATGGTATTGACACAATGCCTTGAGGGAAGACATGAGCCTGGGACAGTGGTGCATGAGGAGCAGGGACTCCAGACGTTCCCCAGGGCCTGTGGGACAGTTTGGAAGAGTTGACTGTGTACATCTCTTCTCAGCCCCATGTTTAGTGGCATCGTATAGGTAGCTTGAAATGGACCAAGCAAAGCAGTAAATGCTATAGTATGGTTTCTCCCCCATGTGACTGTCCTCCTGCCTCAAGAACCTGATTAAACATCGACCAGCTCACCATTGCCCATCGTCCTAGTGATGGGATGTATAACAACTACCAGGTGAGTCAACAGGGATCAGGAAGAAGAGGCAACTACAATCAAGGATTCTGAGGTGGAAGCAAATGGCTGGAATCAGGGTCACTTGCACAACTCCACGGGGCTGACAGGACAAGTCACACCTCAGAAGTCAACACTGAGCTTCTGCTGCAGTCTAGAGGACTATGGGATCTGAGGTTCTAGATAAGCCTGAAGCCCCTTTTCCCACACTACAAAGAGATGAAGTAAAAATCTTGAGATAGAGCAGGAGGAGGAAAGGCACCTCAAGGTTGTGTGTTTTTCTGAAAGAGACTGAGTTAGCTGAATGATGTGAAACTGGAAGAAATCAACGTGCCATAACAGGCAAGTTCAAATGTAAAGTTTCCCATTTTCCTTTTTGCTTCCTGGTGGGCCAGGTGGGGTTGAAATTCATGAGAAAGATTCTACAAAAAATAAAGAAGTTGCATTTCCCCTGTACATTTTACTAATAGTATAGGGTATAAATTTGCAACTCAGCTATAAAATAATTGTTGGCTATTTTTTAAATATGCATGTGAGAAATATTAAAAATTATTTATCAGGGAACCAGCAGATGGTGTGGTGATTAAGGCACTGGATTTCCACATGGCCAACCATGGTTCAAGTCCTGGACCTGGTGGCTTGAAAATCATGCCAGACACATGTATGTGTGTGCCTCAAATCCTGAGAAGAGAATGGAGGAGAAGGGATTGCAGCGTGGTCATCCTCCTGGTGGGGAGGGGTGATTTCCTACTTTCCCTCTCTCTGTCTGTCTCTTTCTGGCAAGCACACATACTCTATGGCAAAAATCTGTAAAAAAATTATCAGCTGAGGGACCAGCAGATGATGTAGTGGTTACATCGCTGGACTCCCACATAGTTGACCATGGTTCGAGTACCAGACCCAGTGGCTTAAATTCACACAGGGTGTGTGTGTGTACGTGCCCAAGATCCCGAGAGAAGAATGGAGGAGAAGGGATTACAGTGCGCCCATGCCCCTGGATGGGGGGTGGTGATTTCTTGCTTTCTGACTCTCTCTCTCTTTTTCTGGTGAGCACACGTGCCCTATAGCAAAAACCTCTCAAAAATATCAGCTGATGGATCTGATTATACATCTGGTGGCTTATGCTTATGTCTTTGGATCTGTCTTAGTCCATTAGTGTTGCTATAACAGAAATGCCTGAACTGGGTAATTTATAAAGAAAAGTGGTTTATTTGGCTCATGGCTGTGATGGCTGGAAAGTCCAAGATCAAGATCATTTGGTGCTCCATTACAACATGGTGAAGACAAGTAGAAATGTCAGTGAGCTTATGCAAAGGGAGAGAGATCTGTGGATCTTTATAACAACCTGTCGAAGAAACTAATGTGGAAGAACCGAGACAGCCTAATTTATATGTGAGAAACCCACCCCTATGTCCCAAACGCCTCTCTATTGTCCTCCCCTCCCAACACTGCTTCACTGGTTGCCAGATAACAACATGCAGTTTCACTGCAGATACAACACCCAAACCATAGCAAAGACCAGTTATTGATTTACTCTTTTCAGCAGAGTGGCAGCCCACAGGGACCACAGCAGTTCAAGATTTAGACCCTGGCCCACAGAGGACTGGTCAGCAATGGCAGGTAGATTGACCTTTCATTTCAAGGGCATAGTCTATAAGGAAGAGAAAATGGACCCTGACTGGCAGGGATTTCTTTGAGGAGGATGAAATAGTAGAGTTAGGTGATATCTTGAACCAAGTGTCATTCTGTAGATTCTGAGCCCCAAATCCAGTAGTCTACCCTCATCAGGGTACTTGGCATCTGGAATGCATGAACTCCCACTCCATCAGGCATATAGCTTACACTATCTCCAGGGGCATCAGAAATGCCTCTTACTGTGGAAACACAGCAGCTGGAAAGTCTTAAAGCATACAGGGGATGAGGGCAAAGGGTCGAACATTTAAAGCATCAGAATCAAAGGAGGTAGTCTACGTGTTGCCTCCTTGGTCTCTTCCCCTCTCTACCTCCACAGAACAGGGCTGTAGAGGCTGCATTGCCAGGGAAGGACCATGGCTGGGTGTTTAACACCCCCTCTCTGGAGCCCCCATGGAATGACTGCCTGCTCTACAGGAGGCTTCACTACCTCATTAGCAGATCCGTACTCACTGTTCCTTCTCCATCTCTCTTAAATAGCTTCAAAACATAGTATTCTTAGCAGCAGCTAGGCTATAAGAAAACATCTTTCCCGCCCACCCCTCCTCCCATACACGGAATCCTAACAATTGAGCTCCATCTCCGGTACAAACTGGAAAACTCTGGTCCCAGATCTGAAACCCCCACATCTTTAGCCTTTGATCCCACTCCTCCATGACCTCAGAGGAGTCCCTGAGGTCCCCAAGCCCTGTGTGGTGGTCTGCCAGCAGTCTTGGAAAGGGGTTGCACACTTTGCTTTGCTGCATCCTGCCTCTTCCTGTTAGGGTCCTCCCCCTCTTTTTTGATTTCTATCATCTAGGCCCTTTCAAAAGAAAAAACAAAAATAACCCAAAATCAGAAAAACAAGAACAACAACAAGCAAATTCTGAGCTCGATGCTCTCATATCGCTCTCATTTGTTTCCAAAGTACCCTCTCTGTTTCTGGCAACAACTTCCATTGGGGTTCAAAGTTCAGGAGCAACCACTACAGACTTCTTTGAGATTTAGGGTTGATTTCACATCAATAGCCCTGGAAACCTCACGGTCATTGGCATTTGTGGGTGGCTCAGACCCTTTACTCCTTAATAGAGCAAGACCCTCAAGAAGATTCTACATGGCCCAACCATGGTACATGCTTGG